TTTTGTATTTTTTGTTTTTTTCTCTGCTCAGTTTTACTATCTTAGATTATACATTCAAGAGAGTTTGGATTTCCACTGTATTCCTGGGGGATTGAATTTCCAAGGGCTGCTGCTGTCCTGTTGGACTATTAGTATCAACACGGATCAGAGATGCGTGCATCGTGGTCGAGGTGTAGTCATTCTCTTTTCAACTCGTTTATCAAAGATGAGAACAAAGTCAGCATTAGCTCAGAATAGGTTAATTAAACAAGTATAATTCAAGTGATTTTATTCTTTTTTTAATTCTGCTTTTGCTTTGCTCCTTGCTTTTTAAGCCTTTGTGAAACAGTAAAGGTAAAAACCTGAGTATTAATCTGCATTAGTATAATGCATATATTACAGCTCACTCCAGCCTCATGCAACAGACTCCTGGAGTTTAGTTTTCCAAGTCACTGCGCTGATCTAGAGGGGAGCTGCCATTAACAGGTGTGGCCATAGAATTTATTTTGACTCCCAAGGCTACTCAGGGACAAGGGGACCATGGAGATATGTGGGGTAGACACATGGAGGAGAGAGGCAGCTTGAATGCATTGAGTCTCCTGAGTCATTGGCTCCATCTAAGCTCTGCACTGCCTGCTGGGGAAGACGTGTAGTATCAGAGATTAGGACTTTTTAAACAGAGAGCTGCTCCAGACTTCCTGTACAAGAGTGCTGATCCCACAGATCGACATTCATAGTGTACCTAATGAAACGGGCAGTGATTTTATATCATATGTGACTTCATTTGTATTTTATTTTATTTCTTAAATGACAGATAACCAGATACAGTTCTCATTTATTTATTCAATGTGAAAAGAGCTTTGTTTAGAGCAGGGGTGTTGAACTCCAGGCCTCGAGGGCCGGTGCCCTGCAGGCTTTAGATCTCGCCCTGGGTCAACACACCTAAATCAAATGATTAGCTCATTACCAGGCTTCTGGAGAACTTCAAGACATGTTGAGGAGGTCATTTAGCCATTTAAATCAGCTGTGTTGGATCAAGGACACATCTAAAACCTGCAGGACACCGGCCCTTGAGGCCTGGAGTTCGACACCTGTGGTTTAGAGTCATCGACAGATATAAAAATGTCCCTTAGCATTCTAATATTTGGGATAAAGTCTTTTTCAATTAAATAGTTATTGTCACAGTCCCACCACTCATAATTCCAGCTCTGTATCGGCATACATACAGAACGTTTGTGCTTCAAAAAGCCTAATTCAACCGTTAGCTCTTTTAATCCTCACCCTCTTTCTAATCCTCTCACAAATGTATTGGCTTCTACTGAATATTAACTTATAAATAACACTTTATGGGCTTCTTATCAACAGAACAGGCTGCTGCAGCTCTGCTACACAAACAGAGCCTACATGAGCATGTTGGACCGTGAAGCTTTATTAAACCTTGTTTTTGCAGAATGCTGTTATATTAGCTGATCCTAACGTTTGTGGGTTTTGTAGTGCCTGTCTTTCTTAAAAATGTCAGGATCCATTCAGTTCCTATTAAATTATTTAGAATTTGAGTAAGGATAATATTATTAATGTCTTAAAAATCGTAATCGTTATTACTGTTAATATTCATATACCCATTCAGTTTTCATATTTGTTCTCACTAAATACTTGTTTTTATATTTATTACAACAGGTTGTAATAAGTATGGGAATAATATACAAAAAAGAAGCAACAACAAAAATAGGTGGATAGATGAAGGAAAAAAAGGAAGAAGAAAAAAGAAATCTAGCAAAGACCTGACACATGACCTGAAAGAGACACCTGTCCCTTCAATAAATCCGTCTACGGTTCACTGAAGTCTCATCAGAAATGGTCTCAGTGGACGGGAGCCTTTGAAGAAGCCCTTCTTAAGGATGGGAGACAGGGGGAAAAGGCTAATGTCAGCCAAATTACACAAGGCTTGATATAAAAGTGAACAGCATGAAATGATGAATCCAGAATTTTGGCTCAGATTGTTGTCAATGTGTACAGAGGAGGTCAGGAAAGAGATACAACAGTGAGTGTCCGCAGCCTTTTAGACACAGTGGAGGCTCGGTCATGGTTTGGCGCTGCATTTCAGCCATTGGTGTCGGGATCATGTCCAGTTTGATGGAATTGTTAACAATTCATCTGGAAAGAGTCTGATTGACAACAGGTTCATTTTTCAGCCTGACGATGACCCAGAACACTCCTGCTGATGCATATTTGGATAGAAAAAAGCACAGAGGAGCAGCATCAGTCATGGATAGGCCTCCCCAGAGCTCGGACCACAATATTATTAAAGCCGTGTGGAATCATCTTGACAGAGAACAGAACAAAAGGCAGAAACATTCAAAGAACAGCTTTAAAAGTCATTCAAGAAGTCTGGAGAACTATTCCTGAAGACTTAAAGAAATTACAAGAAAGCTGCCTAAGAGTTCACGCTGTACTGAAAAATAAAGGTGGTCACGCTAAATATTGACTTTTCAGCTCATTAGTATTGCAAAAAAGTCTGTTTTTGCCATATATATTGTAAATCCATGTCTGTTTACATATATCTGACTAAATAACTACATCTATTATCCCTTTTCCTAGATGAATAGGAAGAAATGCTCTGTGCACCCTACTGAACATTACAACACATTAAAACAGTAATGTGTTGTTGTTTTGGTCAATTTAGGACCTTAACTGGTTCACACTGAAATCTAATAAAGTAAAAATATATATCAAAACTACAACTATTACAAATAAATTAGATCTGATCAATCAAGCTCACAGATTTGCAGTGTAAATGAAGCCTTAGTCAGAGTGCTATCAGAATAATATCATAGACACGCTGATCAAAGTCCACAGAGCAGCGTTTATCTGCACCGGTGCAGTTTTACAGCCTGTCATTTATGACTGATCTCAGCAAACAGTAGATTGCGTCATCAAGACTGCTCAGAAAAATAGAATTTCCATCAGTCACACATCTCAGATGGTTTTTCTTTTACCTCCACAAGTGAAAATTGAGGTCACAAGGGTAATATAATCTTCAGCAATGAGTTTACATAACTGTTTATTTAGGATTTCACAGCTGAGCCGGAGTGTTTATCTGATCCAGACAGTGTGCCCCCGCTTTCTTAAAATCTTGGGTATTTTTATCCACAGAGTCATGTCGTTATTGTGAGTAGAAGCAGCACAACAAAACACCCTTAATCATATCGCAGATTAGATTTTCATCCTCCAGCTTCTGGAAAAAATTTTTATATGGGTGATATATTTTTTGTTGATCTTACAAGATTCAAGCTGACCAAATGAAAAGTTCTACCGCTACACAATTAAAGAGCAAATCTAACCTCAAGGTGCAGCCCATAAAGCAAACTGACTGAAACTGAAATCACGGCAAATGAAAATCCAATTAACCAAACTACCTTGGAAACAGGAAGTGGATTAATGGAGGGGAAAGTGAATGTTAGCAGAGAGGTGGCCTCTCTTTACTCCCGCTGCTACTGGTCGGCTACATCACAAAACTGAGCGGGCACTCCTGGGTGACAGATGGTGAAGGCAGAGAAGAGGGGACGGTGACACACTGACATTGTCTCAGGACACTGGAAGGACACAACAGCAGGCTTCACAGGACTCCAGATGGCCTCTTAAGAGTAGGTCACTACCCTCGCAGTGGATATAAAAAGCTCCTGTCGTGACGCTTACTTCTTCTGTGACGACTTCGCTAGTTACAATAAACCCTACACTGCATTATTAACACTGTATACCATAACACCTACTAAACCTGTGAAAGCCTTTGAACCAGATTATAGTAAAACATCAAGAGGTTATGATGTAGGCCCAACGTCATGACAAGCATGACTTTTGACCATTTATTGGGATGACCTCCATATAGTTCAGATGTTTTCTCCACCAGCTCCTGATGAGGCAGCACCGGCAAAAGCCAGAAAGAGCCTAAGCCTGAGAGCTCATTTATGTGGTCAGCTGTTAGCGCCTCTAAAGTAGAATAAGTAGAATATCAACCAGGGCAGGTCCTGAGCGATTAGCTAATTATCTGGCTTTCTCTGTTGGAGGGGCCCCAGGCCACAATATGGCTGCTAGACACAAATTATTTTAGTTTATTATATGTTCCCAGGCAGAATGCTTCACTTTATCAAATTAGGTCTAGTTGCAGGGCTTAATGGGAACTTGATGGCATCAGCGCTCACAATCAAAAAGGTGTGCTTTCCACAAGAACATCCCGAGCTCTGGTGTAAATGTTCGACTCCTTAACCGCTAAATGCACCATCCCTTATGTTGCTAATTTTGTTTGTGTGCTGCTGGGGTCGTTTTTAAAAACACCTGTCTGCTGTGGCTGAAAAATGACTCAGATAAAAAAGATAGTGAATCAAGGAAGCAAAAGATGTTTGACTGCAAAGCCAAAGCAAGGGGATGCACAAAGTTGAGGGAAAATGCAATCATCTGATGATTCTCTTAAATGTTATTTAAGGAAACAATGATAAGAGCAGCTTTAAGATTATATTGTTTAAATTAAAGACAGTAGGTAGATTGTCAAGTTAAAAAGACAATAAATTATATGTTATAGACCCTGTTTTCATTCATCAGTCAAAGTGCAGCTCACAGGAAATTTGTGCCACCATGATCTGATACGGGACACGCTGTTAGTATTAGACAGTAATTACACTGTTACAGACCTGAAAACTGTCATTCCTGGAAAAGCGAAGGATTTCCCGCAGCCACGTATCCTTCTGTAGTCGAGTTGAGGGTTTCCACACTGCTGTGCTCCGACCTGCTGGATGAGTTTGAACCAGGACCTGAAGATCTCCGTGAGTTGCTCCAAAATAATAATAGAAACTCATCTGACAAGCAGAAATGAAAAGAAGGTGATCCGGTGAGGTCACATTGGTGGAGGCTGTGGTTTACTGTAGATTCTGTTACCTGGCAGGTGTGGCTGGGTGGGAGGACTGGACTTTTCAGGTCTGCTGTGGTTTTGTTTCCTCTGACGGGTAACAGGGACAGAAAATGTGCTGACGGGAGAGAGGAGGAAAATTTAATGGAAAACTTTCATAATAGGTGTTGTTATCATTTGGAAATGACAGCTGCTCCAACCTGATTTGTTGTTTGTGTGGTCATGTTTGAGTCCAGCGACCTCAGTTGTTCTGGACCACTGAGCCCTCATTTCTGAGCTTTGGATCAGGTCACAGAAACCCTCCTCAAAGTCATACCTCTCATACATTGAACCTGCAGCAGAAAATGGTAACACATATATTTCACTTCTGCTTTTTTGTTGTTAAGCCTCTGATGTAGTTCACGTCATTAAAGATTTAAGTGTAAACTGCAGTTTATAATTCAGAAGTGCCGTGGCGTATTTTCAAGATTAGCAACCATACAACAATCACCGCCCATTTATAGATCCTTGTCGACAAAATTTTATATCCATCATAAAAATGTACTCAGTAAAGCTTTCGATTAGATTGAACTTCTATTTGTTTTATTCTACTGATCTGGATTTTAGAGACCAGCCCTAAAGCTACAGATTTTTAGAACAAGGCTTACTCCTAAAGCGCTAGTAAGATTAATGATCAAAAAAAAGTTTTGTAACTACAGTACACAATAAATGAACAATACATGACCAAAGATAATAGTTCTTAATGGTTAAGGAAGAAAAAATATTATTTTAGTAAATGCACTTTAAGACAGTTGTTTATTATTTTAGTCCCATTATTTTGTTCAGTTGTATATAAGCCTGATAGTTTAGAGTGACACGTCATGATGACACATAGAGGTGGAAAGTAATGAAGTTCATATATTTATTACAAATATCTTTGCCTCCATGTCCTCCTTAATTACATTTGTGAATCCTCTCTGTGGTCTTCCTCTTCTCCTCCTGCCTGTCAGCTTCATCGTCAACATATCAGCAGATGTCTACACCATCTCAAACCAGCCTTGCTTCTCTAACCTTGCCTCCAAACTGCTCGACCTGATCTGTCGCTCTGATGTACTCATATCTAATCTCGTCTGCTCTCACTCTAAATCAGAATCTTAAAATCTTCAGCTGAGCCTCCTGTCTTTTTGTCAGCCCTCCAAACCACACGTCACATCAGGTCTCACTGCCTCTAACCTTTCCTTCCACTCTTGCTGCTATCTTTCAATCACAAATCACCCCAGACACTAGTCTCCACCCACTCCGCCTCTTCTCTATGTCTTTTGTGCAATGTCCAAATAACTGTACTTTCTACTCCTAACATCTTTAAAATAGGTTTGTTACTTTAGGCTTAAGACATCTGAGGGGCATTGTTGATTACTTCACATCACTGTGCACCTCCCAGACAACAGACATCAAACTGATGTGAAGCTAAATGGAAGGATCAATAACATAAAAGGCAATCCTATTGGTGAATCCACCATTCAAGGTGCACATGTTAATGTGTTGTGGTTGCAGTACTTCAGCATCTAGCTTAGCCATACTGAAGAGGAGTGAGCATAAAAGGAGTAATATTTTCAGGTCATTTCAAACACAATGCTTCGAACTGCTCAACAAATATCAGTAAACACACAAACTGTTTCTGTTTCGGTGCATTTTGTTACACACTTTGTGTAGCTTAAAGCGACAGGAGTTCTCAGGGAGAGAAAAGAAAAGTAAATGTGTGATAAGTTCGCTCTCAAAGATGAAAAAGGATGAGGATAAGTTGTTCTCCACTGCATTTAATATAAAGAGAAAATGTTTGATTCACAAGCAAATTTACAAACTCTATGAACTGAAACCAGATCGTGGATAAAAATAGATTTTTACTCTCGGATTTTTCTATACTGTGTGTCCATTTTCACATTTTACTCACAATTGTTTTCATCGCTGCTGTCTCCACAGTCGTCGGTGAAGTCACACACACAGTCCTCAGACACGCATAATCCGTGAGAGCAGGAAAAATCCTGGTTCGAACAGGTGTTGGCAGCCACTGGCTTGAATACCAAAGTGAAGGCTAACACCAGCCACACCAAGCCAAGCGGTGACGCCATCAGCAGCTTATTGTTTGCCCTTCAACTAAAATACCTAATTTTCACCTCTAAATGAAGCATTTTTCTGTCAGGACATGAGGAAGAATTCCTGGTGTAGAGCGGCTTTTCCTCACTGTGTACAGCTTACTCGGCTCCTGGATTGATACCGTACGTGTGCTCAGCATTCATGCTGTAAAGAGTAATAAATGGGTTTTATTGCTGTTACTCAACAAGGTCACTGTTCCTGCTCATGTGTTTAACATGGACACATGTCATGACAAGGGGACAGAAATAACCAAAGTCTCCTAAGCCCACATTTTATTGCCTCTATTTTTTTTTAAAATAATTTGGATTGAAATTAGATTCAGAAATGATCTTTACTCTGTACGTAAGTGACCGCATCTTGCATAATTGTGACAATACTTCATCTTTTGTGTGGTTTCCCTCTTTTCCTCCTACCTGGTAGCTCCATATATAACATCCTTTGTACAGTGTATCCCCTATCCCTCCTCTGCACCATGTCAAACTTGTCTCTCTAACTTTGTCTCCAAACTGCTCATTTCTAATCTTGTCCATCCTGGTAACTCCCAAATGAAAATCAGACCCTCTTAAGCTCCGCCTCCTCCAGCTCCGCCTCCTGTATTTTTCTCAGTGCCACCATCTCCAGACCATACATCAGGTCTCACTAGCATCTTGTAGACCTTCCCTTCCACTCTTGCTGCCACCCTGTCACAAATCACTCCTGGCACTCGCTTCTTCACCTCTCCCCTGCAGTGCCCATTTCTGCAGATAGTCGACCCAGGTGCTTAAACTCTTCCACCTGTATTATTTCTATTCATTCCATCTTCACTGTTACACTTGTCACTTTCCCATAAACAGGTATTCTGACTTGCGTCTACCGACTTTCATTCCTCAATCCTTCGTTCTCTTCTTCTTTCAATTTAGAGATTTGGATATTTTCTTTTAATAAGGACGATGTCTACCATTGTATGCATGAAAGCTCTCTTACTCCCAATAGTGATCATCGCACTCATGTTTAACTGATTTTTACAAGTTCAGCTGGGAAGGAGCCGGTTACCTACTATTATGTCAATAGTAGGTAACTTTAATAATCAAATGCAAATGAGACTTACAGAAAAGCCAGCAAAAGAAATATGCCACAAGATAAGATACATTATCTCTAATCAGTTAGATGAGATGAGCTAGGGAACGTATGAAGTGCTATAAGAGGATCATTAACTGTGTTCAGCAGGGCTCAGCTCCTCTATACAGTGAGGCATAATTTTATTTCACAGCAATCAATAAAGACAGCAACCTTAACACAGGCAAGCAGCAAGCCAGTACAAGAGTTGGTGTGGTTCAAATGAAATTAACCTTGAGAGAAAAGGCGAGCTTGACGGCCCCATTGTGGGATGAGGAACCAGTGGAACAAGGGAAATATCACGTCTGAATTGACCCCTGTTGGCAGCGGGCGTGCCACATGTAACACAGAGGCCTGCAGGCTGTTGTTTCTGATAGCAAACAGCAGTCAATCATTTTAACAGTGTCAGGATGTAGAAGTGGAAAGCATTTTGAGGTTCCAGATTTTTACATGTGGTAGGAAGAAACAAGAGTACCAATGTGGTCACTAATGGTGATTCATAACCACAATTAGCTGATTTCAACTAGAAAGAGTCATTAATATCTGCCAGCAAAGAACCGCGCAAAAAATCTTCACTGCTCTGTAACTCAAAGTGGGAAGTCATTAAAGAATATCTATGTTTTTTCATGCGGAACTTAATATTCAGAGCAGCTGGATATAAAACTAGTGTAACCAAAACGCTGATACTGCTCGATTAAATTTAACCTCACAAAAAGAACAGAGGAGGAAATTATACTGGGACAAAAATACATAATGACGTGATTACACATGCCCCCAGTGTTAGCATGCTATCATTTAATAAGAATGTTTAAAACTGATCGGGTCTGCACCTGGATTTTTTTTGTTTTTCAGTCACTCTGTCGTAGATTTGCTGCAGTGCTTTAGCTGGCCGGCCTCATATTTGGCTCTCAGTGTTTTTCTAATTGTGCTGTCATTAATTTTAACATTTAACATGATAACTGAGGCCTGTAGAGTCTGACATGTAGCTCTTGAGACAATTTCTCATGCACAGTTTGACCTTGGGGTAAATTTGTTGGGACATCCACTACTAGGAAGATGGTGGCACCCTGTTAATACACATGCACTCATGCTCCAGACCAGAAAACTGCCTAAACTTCTACTTTTGTAGAGGCCTCTAGTTACCCTTTTAATTTCTATGGGAGTACTGTACATATAGAGTCAGGTTTCAGAGTACATAGAGCCCCATGAAAACCTCTTTCACATGACTGGTGTTCATACCTCTTTTTGATTAATTCTAAAGTCTGGACATCAGTTAGCATTTTCATCAGTAGCTCTGAGGTGTGGATTCATATATGGGAACCAAATACATTTAATTATTAGTTACTATTAATATCTAGCTCTCTTCCATAGCATGTCTTTGTGCTGTCTTCATCCACTCACCCTCGACCGGTCGCGGCAGATGCCTGCCCTTCCCTGAGCATGGTTAGGTTGGATGTTTCTTCCTGTTAAAACGGAGTTTTTCCTTCCCACTGTCGCCAAAGTGCTTGATCATAGGGGGTCATCTGGTTGTACGGCTTTTCTGTTTCCTTTGTATTATTCTAAGGTTTTTACCTTACAAGATAAAACGCCTTTAGGGAACTGTTGTTGTGATTTGTCACTATATAAATAAAATTTAATTGAACTGAATTAGATGACTTCAATGACCAATCCAATATAAAGTTCAGAAATGTAAAGAAACAAAGAACCACAGCACGAGCAGCTAGGAGTAAACGGGATATCAAACAATGCAACTGAGTGCTGGACATAAGGGAGTTTTCACAGATGCTTTGAAAAATATTATTTACTCCCATCCATGGATTCAAATCATCAGCATGACTGGAAACAGGGATGTGATATATTTTCACAAAATTGTACCTCCACACACCCGTCCTGCATTTGTTCTTTGTCTTCCAACTAATGAATTCTTAAACTCTTGTGATTCATTTCACCTTAACTGGTGAAACAGAGGTCAAAGCAAAGCTTGCCCGTAAGTGACTTAAATGAGACAAATTTATCGTTGAGTCTGCCGGTCCTGGTGGGATTGATGCAGCCATTTGTCAAAGATTCGAACTAATCTGTTCCACACAGTCTTTTACATATTAATACAAAGCTGTGATGAAATGCTGTTCCTATTTGTAAGCAGAATGGTTTTCCTTGACATCAATTTTTTTTTTATTTTTTCTTTTGGTTATTGTTGGGGGGAGGTTACCTTCACACACCAGCAATGACCTCCGATTGGAAAATTAAGTTGCAAAACCCATTATTCTACAGGATTTACAAGAAAACTGGTGATTGCACTGAGGAAGGAGTTTATATGCAGATCCGCAGCAGAGCTGATACAATACAGGAAAAAATGGAAAACAATAAGTAAAATCTCCTAGAATTTCAATGAGGTGCAAACTTTACATTGGCAGATACTCAGTGTTCTTGTTCAGCAGCTGAATGAAAGCTTTTGCATTTTTAAAGGAAGTCTTCCTCTCTAAGAGAGAAAAAGTAACCAAAATCAAGTCGTGTTGTCTCATAATTCATAATCGTTTTTCTCACATCCCGCCGCCTTTTGACACTTCGTTAATTAGGACACATTGACAGCGGAGAACATTTGCATTTTGAATACAGCCAATCTGCTTTCACATCCTCACTCAAGCTGCGGCGATGTGCAACACCTGCTAATTTTCCTCAGACCTGAATCGAGTGATTCACTGCTGAGTCAAGTGATCATAACAGCTGGGGTTTAATCTTAACAGTGTACCTGTAGGAGATGGATCACTCAGCACCTCCAATCAACGCAGCATGAGCGCGAACATCCTGCAGAGCTCTGTGACCTGCCGTTGTGTACGAAGCAGCCGGCAAAGTATTGACAAATGAGCTCAATAAGCGCAAAGTGAGCCAGTGAACCAGACCGCATTCAGCACCTGAGTCTTATGCATCCTATTTGGCGGATCCTTGTCCCGCAATAATGCTGCCACCTGTCAGTATACAAGAGGCACACTGCCAGAATACTCAAGGTAAGTTGAAGGGAACCTGTTAGCTCTGCCATGGCTGCCATTAGTCGTGCTGTTCATCTGAAAATCAAAAATAAACACACAATAATGAAATAAACCTGTGACTATTCAGAGACCTACATCATTTTAGCACTTCTGAAGCATTAGTGTAGTAATGTTAATGTTTTCAATGTTATTAACTTTGTCATTTTCTTTTTCTTTCTTTTTTTTTTTTCAATTACATGGATGTAATTATATAATCTCGGGATATTTGGCAATACTAACACTTGTGAGGTCAGAATGATTTCTTATTTTTATCTGCAGTCTTATGAACTTTAAGGACACTGAAGGAAAACTAAAGACAGATGCATTTGTTGGTTGTCGCAAAGAGAGAACAATATGCAGTACGAGTAAAAAAGCAAGCCCCTCAAACATTTTCATTTTATTTTGAGATAAATTGACAGCAATATGCTTTGACATATCTGTGGTATCACCTTCTGGTTTGTTTTCTCTTTGTCAATGTCAATCACAACGTGAATGCAAACAAGTTGCACCGAAGTGCTGCACAGCAACAAAGAAAATACACAGAAAATATGAAGAAAATAATTCATTAATTTACAAAAAAAAAAAGTTAAGATATCAAGCTCTGTTTAATTCGAAAGGCAAAGCGTAGAGGTGGGTCCTTAAAAGCACCTTAAAAGTCTCGAGATTATGAACAGCTCTCCATTTTTTTTAATGGAGAGATGATTAACATATGAGTAAATCAAACAAACTTATACCGACTTTCTCTGTGATAGTTTGAGAATGAAAAGTCAACACAACATGTTGTTTCTTTACCACACAGACAGATGTTTAAAGATTCAGTGGAACAGATGTCACAACTAACACTCTGTTTCGTC